CCTAGATTTTTCTAAAAATATTGCCATAAATTTGGCCCCGCCCAAAAATTTCTAAAAAATTTACCCGAGGGCCTGAAATTTACGAAAATTCAGATACTCCCCAAATCGTTAAAAATTTACTAAAGTACACACGGTCCTAAGATTTTCTACGAGTTTTCTGGCCAATAGATTTTTAGTCTCCATTCTATACTATAATATTTATATAAATTTTATTAATGCAAATTTCTTATATTATATTTCCCCGGGTCTATTTTTTTAAAACTTTTTATGAATCATTGTGCTTGATATCTCTGTACTGTATTTGTCATGGATCATATCAGGGGTATCACTAGCCTTTGCAAACTCAGGGGGCTCAAAAAAATTACCATTTTTTACAAAAATTTTTAAAGTGACTTTTATTTATTCTTAAAAGTAAAAAAAAATCAAAGTTTAAGGGTGGAGGGGGGCTCGAACACCTGTGCCTCTCCCAGCGCTACTGGATTATAACATAAATAACTTATTTAATTTATTTTCTTGTTAATTTACTGTTACTTATAAATTTAGAATTTTAGTTAAACAGCTCTTAAAATACCAGGGTTGGCATGTCGGTCAATTGACCGGAGGAGTATTTGACTGGTCAAATACGGTCAAATACTCTAAAATATTAATGGCGAATAAATATTTTGATATAATTAACTAGTATGCATTAAAAGCATGTTTATCAATCTTATTATTTTTTTATTAAAATATAAATATGTAATTTTTCTAAATATAGTAATATTTTTAGTTATTTTTTTGCCTAATCATTGCCGTTTCTCGCCTTCTTTATTTTTTTCAATTCATTTTTCTTAAAAAAAATAAAAATACCCGATTTATTATAATCATAATATAATTTTTTCATTCTTATTTTTTAATAAATTTAAATTTTATTTAATATTTAGCCGAGTATAAATTATATTAATTCTCATTTGTTTTACTTACACTTGCTATATTTGGTTTTTAAAATTAATTTTCATTTTAATTGTTCTGGTCAGATTTACGGAATATTATTCAATTCTGGTAAAAAGTTTATTATATTATATTTATAATATTAAGAAATTATTGGAATAATTGGTCGATAATTATAAAATAGTTAAGATTGATTAACTTTACAATAATCAAAATCATTTTTTGTTAAATTTTAATATATTAGGGATTATGGTCAAACCAAAGCATCATGTTTGGAAACATTTTCAAGAAGTACGCGATGGTAAATCAGTTAAAGCGGTGTGCAAGTTTTGCAAGATGTCCTATATCACCCACGTTGATAGAATGGTCAAACATTTATTAAGCAGCTGTACTATGTGCCCTGTTATAATTAAGGAAAAATTTTATCCAAATTCCAAAATATCAACCTCTACAAAAAATATCACAAATGTAATTTGTAATAATTCTAAGTCTAACTCTAATGAAGAATTGGGTGAAATTAGTGAGAATGATTATCAAATGAACAATATTTTGTCTTGTGACTCAGGAGAATTTGATTCCCTTATTTCTAATCAATCTACAAGCAAGGCGATTAAATATAAATCTCAATCTTGTATAACCGGTTTCATAGATAGAATTAATCCCAAAGAAAAAAATGAGCTGGATCAATTGTTTGCAAAGGCTGTATATGCGAGCAATTTACCTTTCCACATCACTGAAAATCCTTACATCCAAGAATTTTTAAAAAAAATACGTCCTATTTACACATTACCCAGGAGAAGGCAGCTGGCTGGATATCTTCTAGACAAAGCGTCAGGTGATATGGAGGTGAGAGTTGCAGATATAATAGATAAAGCTCCTTACTTATCAATTGTATCAGATGGCTGGAGCAACATTAGAAACGAGAGTATTATTAATTTTATGGTGATGACGCCTGTTCCAGTGTTCTACAAATTTCTAAATTCTGAGGAAAATCGCCATACGGCAGATTATATTGCCCAGGAATTTAAAAATGTAATTCATGAATTGAATCCGGTAAAAGTATATTCTTTAGTTACTGATAATGCCGCTAACATGAAAGCAGCCTGGAGAATTCTAAAATCTGAAGCTATTTATAATCATATACAATGTTATGGTTGTGCAGCGCATACATTGCAGTTATTCTTTCACGATTTTGAACGATTGGACGCCTTCAGTGACCATATTTCAATAATTAAAAAAATTGTTAAATTTTTCAAGAATAAACACATACCAGCTGCAGTATTTTCCCGTAATAAGAATCTTCATGGCATACCATCTACATTAAGTACAATTAGCCAAACAAGATGGGCATCGTCAATAAAATGTATGGAGCAAATTCAAATATGCAAGAAAGCTCTAAAAGCATCAGTTGTTGAAGAAGCTGTTTGTGATAATTGTCCCATAGAAATTACCAATAATATATTAAACGAAGAATTTTGGACGAAAAATTTAAAATTTTTAGCTATACTCCAACCTTTAGCTACCTCATTGTTGAAAGTGCAAGGGGATAAATGTACTTTGGCCCAAGTAAAAAACGAGATGCTTAATTTGGAAAAACACATAATACAATCATGCCATGATTCTATATTTTCTCCATCTCAAGAAAAAAAAATTAAGGTTATGTTTGAAAAGAGAAAAACTGATATAAATACATGTGCTCACAATGCTGCTTATTTATTGGACCCCCAATATCAAGGGGAGCATCTTACTAATACTGAATTTGATGAAGCATGTAATATAATACAAGAATTGGGTATTTTACAAGGTGGTGATAATCAAAATATTTTGAGTAATATAGTAAATTTCAGAAGCAAAAGCGGTATATTTAATAGCCATAATATGTGGAAAGTTGTAACTTCCATAAGAAACAATCAAATTTCGGCCTCAAGTTGGTGGAATGCATTTTGCCCACCTTGCCCATTAAGAGAAGTCGCTAATATTTTACTAACATTTCCTAGTTCGACTTCTTCTTCTGAAAGAAATTGGTCGGTTTGGGGCAATATTCACACGAAAAACAGAAATAGATTAAAGGCTTCTACAGCAGGAAAATTAGTAAGAGTGTATCATAATTTAAGATTGATTAAAAATATTAAAGAAAATAATGATATTGAATATGAATCGGAACAAGACTCTGCCACGGAGGGTGAAACATTGACTATAGAATGAATTAAAAAATATTATGATATTTATTATTATACATAGATTTATTATAATATTATATAAATGCAAAATAAAGTTAATATTGGTGTAAAAAACATTTATTTGAATTTGACCATATTTGACCGTATTTGACCATATTTGACCGGTCAAATATCGGTCAATTGACCGAATTGTATTTGACCGGTCAAATGCACAACCCTGTAAAATACACATAAATAAGCATATTATAATAATTTTTCAAATAGTATTAGTCAAAATATTAGTATGAAATTCAAAAAATGACCGGCTGCCATAAAAATTTATAAATGGTTATCCCGGTCTATAATTTTATATAAAATAGGGAATAAGATTATATAAAATTATTTTACTATATAAAAATATAGAATAAAATTATATTTTATTCATAATTATGACTCAATCCTTCATTCATCTTATAATATTATAATCGAATATTTAATTCCATAATTTATATTTTTTCATGTATAAGGGAAAATATAAAATAATTATAAGTATTTTTATCTTTTTGAAATGTTTGAATTAAACACTTTTTTATTTTACTGATTTATCATTATAAAGAAATCATAAATAATATGGAATATGTATAAAAATGTCTTAAAAGCCACGATTTTTATTTATCTAATTGCCCGGAGCGTCCCGACCTGGCACAAAAACTTTCGGATGGGCCAGGCTTTGCATATCTCTTACGGGGATATTCATCCAAAAGAATAAAAACTTATTGTAGAAACAGAATTAGTCAAAATTGATTATCTAATCGATCATTAATTTTAATTAAATTTAAAATCCCACAATAACTTTAATAAGATAGTATTTGATAATTTTACTTAAAAACATATAAATTACCTTTATTTGTAAATCTAAATTTTATATGTTTCCAATATAAAAAAAATTAATTACTTCTCTAGTAGTAAACTTGTGACGCTTCATCATCGAATAATTAATGTAACTATAAACTAATACACGTAACCAATAAAAATATAAATTTATAGGTTAATGATACTTAGTGACGAACATTTTTATTTTCTATGTGATTTTAATTAAATATTAGATTGCGCTGTAAATTATCATTATCAACTAAAAAACTCTTATAGAGGTTAGCGGATGAACTAATTTATACTTCTACCTAGGTTCGACTCCAGAAAGGACCTGGTCTTCTTTTAAAGCTAACTAAGTATTTATGTGCTACATGTATGATTTTAGCAGATCAAAAGTGAGTAAGAATATCATAGGTCTTATTACATTTTTAATAAAATCTGTTAGTTGTAGCACATTGCTTTATGAAGAAAGGAAATATCTTTGCAAATTTATACGGATTAACTATCAATTATTTAGAGGTACTCCTTACTAATCAACATAATAAAGTAATATATTCAATAACGATATCATTTTAAATATTTAATTGATTCTCTTCCTGGATATATAATTGTTTAACAACGCATTGATTATTTTGCTATATGATATAGCATAGCTATGTAACCTCTCTCAAATCCCATCTAATTGGATTAAGAACTTTGAGGTAACCTAAGAGAGAAACCTATCCACAAGTTTTTATGTAGACTGCAGTTGCTAGTGGTTGCAAGAGGAAAAGCCACTTACTTAAAAGCTCATGGGAAATAAAAAAGTTAGGTAAAATCCCAAGCCTGATTAAATAAAAATAACGGTCAAGATAAGGTAGTGACAAAGTTAAAATTAAGTTCCAGATTCAGAATGCCGAAAGGAGAAACCTAAAACAAAAATATGGGATTAAATTATTATAAAAATGCTAATAAAAATCGATCGATTATGAATTAATTTATTAGTTGCTTATAACACATTTTCTATTTCAAAGTGTATAAACGCTATTTTCCAGAGTAAAATTTAGGTAATCCATCCATTCTATTTTCGGCAAACCTACACTGTCGCATGTTAAATTTTTATGTGAGAAGAAATAATGCCTGCGAAAACAGTTCTGATGGCGCAACAATCTCAATTTAGAAAACTTGATATTGACGATACTGTGATTGATAATTTTTTAACTGATGAACCTAATACTGAAGGTTTGAAAAAAGTATTTAATGAAAATGATTTGAAACACCTGCTACAAAGATATCCTTTTTAAATATATTAATGTTAATAATATATTTTATTTACTCATGAATTCTTTAATATCCTTAACCTAAAATTTACTGGTAGGAATATTGAAGCACTAAGGTTTATATTAGATTATGCACCTACAGGTGTTAAAGATGTTCACTCTCGAGTAAAAAAGCTAACTTTATATTATATTTTTTTTATATTAGGAAAAGATTTTTAAAAATGTCATGCAAACTGTATATTCATTTAAATCTGGCGATATCAATTCTGCCATTAATAATTTAACAAAGGATAATTTAGACACTTTAATGAAATATATATATAAAGGCTTTGAATACCCTGAAGGTGGTAATTCTTCCATACTTTTAAATTGGCATGAAAAAGTTCTTTTTTAAAAATAATACTTTTTTTATATAACAATATAGATTTTTAATGTTACTGGATATGGAAGCATAATAAGGACAATGACAGATAGAAAAAAAATATATTAATTTATTTTGATAAATGGGATCATATTAAAATATAATTTTTTTTATACTTTTATTTTACATATTAGTCTAATTTATTTCTTTTATTTTTCTTTGATGAATTTTATATATTAAATTATAATATTTTGATTATATACTTGTCTCTATGATATAGTATTTTGTTTTGACATACTAATGAATAAAGTAATTTAATTATTATTTTTTTATAATCTAATTTAAATATTTACTTAATGCTTTCAAAGAATAATTAGAAAGTATAGTTATTATTTAAATCCTATATCTATTAATTTCTTTTTATTCCTCCTTAATCTAATTGTGTAAAATATTTATAAAATTAATTTTTAAAATAGAAATTTTTTTTTAAAGTCAAAGTTTTCCTGTTTCTTAGAGAATTATTTTGTGTATTCTGTTCTGGTTATTAAGCTTAGTAGTAAATTTTCCACAAGGTAAAAATAAATTGTTGGTTGATTATTATAGGGGTTTATATTCACTTTATAGTTAAATTCATTTTTGAATAATTTGCTTTTAAAATAGTTTAGACAAAAAATGTTGGCAAAATTTTTTTACATTTTTATTGCACTATTATTGTCCTAAAATTCTGATCAATAAAATGAACTGTTATCCCTAAAAAGGTTAAACTGATACAAATATTGTTGTAATGTGGAAATTATACACATATATTTATTAATGATATTATGGAAATATATATATGAATATATTATATTATTTGTATATTATGAATTAGTATATTTGTTAGTTAGATATATTTTATCATATTATATATATTTTTATGATTAATATAATATTAAGTGAAGGTTAACTACTAAATACCCATATCATCTATTGTAATATAATATCCAGATATATATATATTGTTATGGTTGTATTAATGTAATTTCATTTATTAAAGTGGCAACTACGAGACAAAGAACCTAAAATATGAATTAATTGGATTTTTTATGAAATAAATTATGGAGAATGATTGGAAAATGTCATGGTAAGTATGAACTATTTTGTAAATGTGATATTTTTTTGAGCAATATCTATTGGATATTTTATAAAATTAAATCATGGATAAAGATAAAATTATGGTTGTTAATGGACTTAATTTGGAAAATATATTAATGGTAATGAATGAATTATGATCTTGAAATCTGATATTAAAATATTGAGATAATGAAAAGGAACAATTATATCTGATTTAATATGAACAAAGTAATGAATTATTATAATTGCTGATAAACAAAAATTGTTTGATGAATGAGCTTGCAGAAAATTATATGATAGTTAATTTGGTACAAATGAAAATGTTCATGCTTATAGCTAACTGCATGAAATTGCAGAATAATAAAGTATATTCACAATAGTGTTGTTAAAAAGCCAAGTTTTATCGGCTACGACCTCGAGGTCGTAGCCAAAATTTGCTCAGGCTCAAGCCAACTGAGTTGGCTCAGGCCGGATTAAGAGTTGGCTGGGTAATTCCATACCAAATCTATAACTTTTCGGCCCGACCTTTTAAATTTTGATAAAATTTTGTATGCTGAGAGAATATCATTTGAAAGCATCGAATCCAAAATTTTAGCTTCCTTGTACTCATAGTTCCAGAGATATCAATGGTCAAAAGTGCCAAAAATGACCTTTTTTCAAAAAATACGATTTTTTGAAACTGAGATAAGTTAAAAAATAATGATTTTAAAAATATAAGTTATATGTCATTTTGTAACTCTATTAAAGGCCTTTTATTAAATATTAAGGATTTTTTTGAAATAACATTGTTGCCGTTTTTATTTACATTATAAATTTTAAACACAAAAATTCCAGGTGTTTCGCTTTCCAAATTTTTTTGAATTTAATATTTTCTTATTCTCTAACCTTATATCTATTCATAAAAAAAATTTAAACTTGGGACAGTCATAGGTTTTTTAGTTATTACGATTTAAAAAATCAAAAAATAAATATTTTTTACAAAAATAGATGGCGCTCCTTTATAAAATAACGTGTTTTGTTATAATTTTTATTTTTTAAAACTTTTTTTCACTTTTAAACATAAATAATAAGATTTTCCAGCATTAATATCATGAAATGAGATTATTTAGCTGCGATTATAATCATTTTTTTGTAAAAAATTTTAATTTTCAAAAAATTATTTTATAAATTTTAAAGATATAATAGATAAATTAAAATTCATGAAAGATATTACCTATTTTCGGTTTTTCATTAAATTTAGTTTTTTTGCCATGAAAATTTCGTTTTGCGATAAATTATATGTACGCCCAGTAGCCGTTGATGGGCTAACTATTGTTAAAATATTATTTTTTGGTATGAAAAGGATATTTTGTGCAGCTGGATAAACAAAAGAATTTGCTGGTCCTTTAGGGTGAAGAAAATTATTTTTTACTTCATCTCTAATTACATTCACTTCTTGTACAATCCTAACCACCAATCGTTTTCATATGCACATGTTACATATCCTCTAATCTCATCGATTATCAGATCCTCAATCAAATATATTCACGTGGATATATTGTCATTCGTTGCAGTCACCAAAATAACAGGTGGGTAACGGGGGCTTGCAAATCATTCTGCCTATAACATCTCTATAAGTTATAACATTTTTAGTCAATGTTGCTAATTCACAGCTTAAAATCATAAGTTTAATATTCTGATGTATGCTACAAACGCATACACTATGTGTTCCGCTAGACCCTGCTAATATACAATTTTTTGGTCTTAAGCTAGCAAATTTCGAAAATCCAATTGTTAAGTTTGAATTACTCGCCTTAAAATGATTATATAATTCTTTCAAATTATTAAGAACTAACCTTTTTTGAGCGTTCACTCGTTCCCCCTTTTCAATGATAGATATGCAATCTTTTTTTCCTGGTAATATCTACTAACTTTATCAATGCAAAAAAAATTTTAAACAATATCAACTGTTTTTTGATTGAGATATTTTGCAGGCTTTCGATTTGGAGTTGAAAGACTCCCCTTTTCTTCTAAAATGATTTTGGAATTATATGGCATATGATATGTAGCGTTGAATATTCACTATCAGAATTTATATTTTCGATATTTTTTTGTGATAACCTTTTACGGCATTTATCACAAATATAATGTTCCGCCTCAATGTTTGGATATTGTGTCATCCACGTCATGACTTTGCGCAGGTTCTTTTTATAATTAAAGCATTTAGATTCTTTAAAAGGATTTACGCATTTATATTTATACATTATAAATAATTTTAAGAAGAAAAATAATTAATATCAAATTATTTGTAAAATAAAAATTAATTAATATTAGGGCAGGTACATGAAAACTAGCTTTTATCTTTCAACAATTAATTATTATATTTTATTGTATGAGATATCGGAATCTTAACTATGTTTTTAGGTAATTTAATCATTTATTATAAAAACTATTTACAAGTTATCAATAATAATAAGTAGTGATCTACATCCAGCCTAATTTTTCAAGCCCGGCCCGGCCCGAAATTTTTTTTAAAAAAAGTTTCGCCGGCCCGGCCCGAACCCGAAATTTTTTTTACCCGGCCCAGCCCGAATTTATTTAAATATAGGAATTAATTTTTATAATTACTCAAAATAAAAGACATATGTTATATGTCGTTTAGTTTCAATAAATAAAATCAAATATTTTTATTTTACATAAAAAATTCAATATAAAATTGATAAATTTATATATATTTAAAAAAGTTTCCAAGGTCCGACCCGACCCAGCCCGAATTTTTTTCAAAATATTAGCCCGGCCCGGCCCGAATCCGATTATTTTAAATAGAATTAGGCACAAAGCCCGTCCGGGCTGGGCCTAACTTTGCAAATCTCTAATAATAAGTAAGCCTATCAAACGATCTATATAATATTTTTTCCTGATAGTAATGCTGGAAAATCTTATTATTTATGTTTAAAAGTGAAAAAAATTTTAAAAAATAATAATTATAACAAAATACGTTTTTATAAAGGAGCGCCATCTATTTTTGATTTTTTAAATCGTAATAACTAAAAAACCCATGGCTGTCCCAAGTTTAAATTTTTTTTATGAATAGATATAAGGTTAGAGAATAAGAAAATATTAAATTCAAAAAAATTTGGAAAGCGAAACACCTGGAATTTTTATGTTTAAAATTTATAACATAAATAAAAACCGCGTAATATTTCAAAAAATCTTTAATATTTAATAAAAGGCCTTTAATAGAGTTACAAAATGACATATAACTTATATTTTTAAAATCATTATTTTTTTACCTTATCTCAATTTCAAAAAATCGTATTTTTCGAAAAAAGGTCATTTTTGGCACTTTTGACCATTGATATCTCTGGAACTATGAGTACTAGGAAGCTAAAATTTTGGATTCGATGCTTTCAAATGATATTCTCTAAGCATACAAAATTTTATCGAAATTAAAAAGGTCGGGCCGAAAAGTTATTGATTTGGTATGGAATTACCCGGCTCGAGTCTTATTTTAAGCCAAAATTTATTTATTTAAATATGTTAAAACAATATAATATTTATTTATTTATTTTTAAACATAATAATTTATATATTATGAAAATAGTTTATTGATTTGATGTTTTTTTAATAAAAAAAATAATATGCTGCTATTGTTGTATTGTAACAGGGTTGCCAGGTCAAAATTTTCAAATTGTGGGAGAAATTAGGTATTTTGTGGGAGAAATATAAAAATTTGTGGGAGAAATTGCTAAAAAAAATTTTTTTGCAGGCCTTCGGCCTGCAAAGGACCGGGATTTAGAATTGACTTAGTTATCCACTTATTATTTTTTATAAATATAAAATCTAATCTATTTTCCAAAATAAAATAGGTAATTATTTTTCAAAATAAAATAGCTAACTTTTTTTAAAATAAAATAGCTAACTTTTTTTCAAAATAAAATAGCCAACTATTTTTCAAAATAAAATAGCCAACTATTTTTCAAAATAAAATAGCCAACTATTTTTCAAAATAAAATATCCAACTCTTTTTCAAAATAAAATAGCCTAACTATTTTTCAAAATAAAATATCCAACTCTTTTTCAAAATAAAATAGTTAACTATTTTCCAAAATAAAATACCCAACTATTTTTCAAAATAGGTAATTACTGTACGACACAAAATTTCTTAGAGTACTATCTTTATTATTAAAAAAACATATTGATTTATTATAATATAT